AATTTCTCTGATACAGAATCAAACATAATTGATCAGGAAATTGAGAAACTCTTATCTAAAGGTATAATAGAAAAAGTTAATTACAAACAAGATGAATACATTTCAACAATATTTATTCGTGAAAAGAAAGATAAAACACACAGAATGATTTTGAATTTAAGAATACTCAATGATATGGTCGAATATCAGCATTTTAAAATGGAGTGTCTTGGTTCCGCCTTAAAAATGGTGAAACAAAATTGATGGATGAGTACTTTGGACTTATGTGATGCTTATTATTCTTGTCCTATAGCAGTCGAACATAGAAAATATTTAAGATTTTTCTGGCGAAATGAAAGATATCAATACAAAATGTTTCCTAATGGATTGGCTTGTTGCCCGAGAAAATTTAGCAAACTTCTTAAACCAGTGTACGCTAAACTTCGATTACTGGGTCATCTGTCTGTACCATACCTCGGTGATTGTTATTTACAAGGGGACAGTTATAGATACGGTACAATTATTTGATGCTCTTGGGTTTGTAGTACATCCGACTAAATCCTTATTCAAGCCTGTACAGTGCATCACTTTCCTGGGACTTTTGATTGACTCTGTCAGTATGACAGTGCGGTTAACTCTTAGTAAAATAGAGAAAGTAGAACTGGCCTGTAAAAAATTATTGAATGAAACTCAAATTACAATAAGAGATGTTTCTGTCGTTTTAGGTTTAATGACATCCAGTTTCCCTGGAACTATATATGGGGCATTGTATTACAGAGATTTAGAAAATGAGAAAACTGTAGCTTTGAAACATAATAAAGGTAATTTCGAAGCATCTATAATTCTTGGATCACTAGCCAAAAAAGAATAACTTGGTGGGTACAGTCATTGAAATTCGCATACAATGTTATTGATCACGGTTCCCCTGATGTTACTATTTATACTGATGCTAGCAAAAATGGTTGGGGGTGTACAGAATGACTGTACTACTGGTGGAAACTGGACTGCAATTGAGAAAGATAACCATATTAATTATTTAGAATTGTATGCAGTGTTACTGACATTAAGATCATTTAGATTAAAGCTAGAGAGTAAACATGTGAGAGTCATGATGGATAATACTACTGGCATTGCTTGTATCAATCACATGGGTACTAGTCACTCAAATTCATGTAATAAAATTACAAAATTGATTTGGGAGTGGTGTATATTAAACAATGTTTGGCTTTCTGCAGCACACATTCCTGGAGTTGAAAATATTCTAGTGGACAGAGAAAGTAGACAAGATAGGCGAGAAAAAGAATGGAAATTAAATAGTGAATTTCTTAAAGGTGCTTTGAGGAAGCTACAGGTTTCTCCTGATCTTGATCTCTTTGCGTCGAGAATAAATACCCAATTCCCAAAATATTTGGCATATAGGCCTGATCCAAATGTCTTCGCTATTGATGCATTCTCAATTAGGTGGGGTAAAAAATTTTATATGTTTCCTCCTTTCAGTGTTCTGACACAAGCCCTCCAGAAGATAGAGAGGGAAAGGAGTACAGGTATAGTTGTGGCACCCTTCTGGACGACCCAGATCTGGTTTCCAATGTTGATTCGATTATTAGTGAACAGACCACTGGTATTACCAAAAGGGAGACAACTCTTGTTTTTACCTCAGGAACCAAACCTACCTCACCCCATGTTCAAAAAGCTACAACTTCTGGTTTGTCACATGTCCGGCGATCCCTCAATAAGGGAAAGTTTTCAGAGCAGGCTAAAGACCTCATACTTAAAAGTTGGAGACCTGGGACTCAAAAACAGTACAAAACCCATCTCGACAGATGGGAACGTTATTGTGAGCAGAGGGAGATTAATCCATCTTTAGAAGACGGTGTTAATTTCCTTGCAGAACTTTTCTCTACTGGACTTGGTTATAGTTCAATAAACACTGCTCAATGTGCATTATCGTCAGTTACAACTTTTCAATGGATTGTCTTTCGGTAAACATTATGTTGTAATTCATGAAAGGTGTTTTTGAATCTAGACCTTCTTTACCTAAACATTCTTTAATTTGGAATGTCAGTGATGTATTAGACTACTTGAAGACGATGTCTCCAGGTCATACACTGTCACTCAAACACCTGACTCTCAAAGTGGTGATGTTGTTAGCTTTATTGACTGGTCAAAGAAAAAACAATTCATTTAGTTGATATCAATCATATGAAATTAACAGATTCTAGATGTGTTATCTTTATACGTTCTGTGTTAAAACATACACGACCTGGGTCTCATTTAGAACCAATCATTTTGAAAGCTTTTGCACCTGATAGAAGATTGTGCATTGTGACTTACATCAAGCATTATTTGAAAGTTGTACTCTCTCTGGCTGGTATTGATACTGGAATTTTTCAGGCTCATAGTACACGTGCAGCTAGTACATCTAGTGCGAATTCCAAAGGTCTTAGTTTGGATATTATCTTGAAGGCTGCCGGATGGTCCAATGCTGGAACTTTTTCAAAATATTATAGTCAAACAGTTTTAGAAAATGGAAACTTTGGAGAATCTGTACTCAAATGAACTCATCTTAGGCTTGTGTTAGAGCAACTTGTGTTTCAGAGCTTTTTAGTTATTTGTTAATCTGATAATATGATTTGTTCAAATAGTGTGTATTGCATTGATAATGTATGTTATGTAATAATTTGAAACATAAAGTATATGTTTTAATTTTGTTCAAATAATGTGTATTGCATTGTGGTTCTACCGAGTCATGGACAGGAACGGAGTGGTCAAGTGCCCTCCCTTGGATTATCCCTCCCTGTTCAATTACAAGATGTGTTCCTTCATCTTTAAATACTGACAGCTTTGGCGCTTCTCACTTGACCACTCCGTTCCTCTCCATGACTCGGTAGAACCACAATCAAACTTCAACTTACAAGTAAGTCTCGTTTAATTATTCAATTAAACAAACAATACGCAACTAACAATCAGCGACCTAACACGACTGGCGAGTTCGACCTGAATGACTTATTCATGAACATGAACGCAAATTACTTTAACTAACAACTCATTACGTATTACTACGCAACCTAAGAGAAATCATTTTCCGTCTAATTCTGTTCCCTCAACCGATGGAAAATATTTTTTATACTTTCTAATACTTCTGAAGACTATTTCCATAATTTCAAGAGCCCCAAAAATTGTGAATCTGACCCTTAAAAGTAGGAAGAGTTCATACCAGCTGGGTGCTACAGAATCGAACTCCAGTCTCTGACCTTCTATTGCTAAAGATGAAATATTTCTTGTTTTTGAATGATGGAAAATGCTTGTTACAAACCCCAAATGTAAAAAAAAAAAAAAAAGACAAATCTTTAAACTGATAATTTTATTCAAATCGACAATTTAATCTTAATAGTCACTACTCAGACCACGTGACTTTATGGTGTATTAACGAAATCAAAACCAGATTTCTCTACAATGGCACCTGGTTCATCGTTAACTACCGCCAATCCATCTGTATTCGTTATAGTGGTGAAGTCAGTATTGTATAAATAGCATTTTTCTAAAAGAGATTCATAAAATATTGTCAAACATCTTGGTTCATCTTTACATTTTTGGATGCATTCGGAAACTCTTGCAGTGTTGTAATAGATGAAGATGACTGGTTTTCTATATAAGTCACATATACCATGGACTCCTGGAGTATAGCCACACTTGGGTGTTGTAGCACATTCTTCTGTACAATTATTGATTCTATATCTTTCATCCATTTTATTTCCATTCACTACTGCTTTAAGTACCACTGAAATATAAATCGTATTGTTATTGCAATAGTTTACAGAGGACAGAATTCGTTAAGAAAGAACCATTACAGGCCTGACAAATTTAGATGACTTGAATGACTATAGTTGAGCCCCCTTTAAAAAATGGCTCTTGGAGATCCAGGCCGTTATGATAAAAAGATTGAAGAATCTTCAAACAAATCTTTTTGGCCTTAGAAGGTAGCAAATATTTACACGATTTTATATTTCGTCAGAATACGAGATATATATTGGTTCAGAAAACGAGAATATGATTTGACTGACGCATCTTACAAAAGTCGATAAAACCAAGCCCCCTTATGGATTAATTACTTTTATTTTCATAAAACAGATGGATTTACTCAAATAGCTTCGCACAAGGCCGTGTATTACATATAATGACGTAACGGCTTTGAAGGTTTGAATACCATTTATTCGGAAAGGACAA